GGGGTAGCTGAGTGAGGGTGGAACGGGGTTGGAGAAGAGTTTGAGGCAGCGACGAAGTCCCTGCAGGTTATGTCGAGGGGAGGGTGGATAAGGGGGTAGCTGTGTGATGAGAGGGGACAGGTTTGAGAGGGCGTGTGAGTTGCGGCAATGTCCTTGCGAAATTGTGTCAATTTTTGTTTTGAAGTGATTGGCAATCTCAAGGGCAGTGAGTGAGGTGCTGGGTGGAGGGGGGGTGGAGAGAGTAGAGAGTTGAAGGCAGAGAAGAGATCGGCGAGGATTGGAGGAGAGGGCCTTGATGAGGGTCAAGAAGTAGGCCTGTTATGGCAGCATGGAGGGAGGAGGTGTAGGATGTGAGGAAGGCAGATTTGTAGCGGGTGAAGGCTTGTTTGGATTTGGTTTTGCGCCATAGTCGCTCTAGGGCACGACTGTGTCGTTTGAGGGTTTTGGTGTGATCAGTCTGCCAGGGCTGGAGCGGTCGGGGTCTGGAAAAAAATGTTGCGTGTGGTTAAAGGCGCTAGTGAGTCAAGGGCATGTTGATAGCGCATTGTTGTAGGCGGTCAAAGCCAAGTCGGGGCAGGACAGGGGGAGGATGCTGTCGTGGAGTTGATCAGCTGCAGAGTGGAGGGGGGCAGGGTTAAGGTTGCGGAGGTTACGCTTGTAGTAGTGTGACATTTGGAGGGGTAGGCGTTGGAGGACGAGGAGATAGAGAAGGTGATCAGGTTGTGGTCAGAGAGAGGGAAGGGGTGTTAGTGAGGTTGTGGGGAGCGCAAGCGGTTGGAGAAGACAAGAAAATCAAGGATATTACCGTCGGAGTGGGGTGGTGGATTGTATGCACTGTGCAAGTGCAAAGGAGGAGGTTAGGTGGAAGGAGACGGGCTGTGTCCGGGTTGTCGAGGTTGACAGGGATGTTAAAATCGCCAAGAATTATGGTGGGTAGCTCAGAGGAGAGGAAGAAGGGTAGCCAGGAGGAGAAGTCAATCCAGGAAGCGGGGTATGGATCCAGGAGGCCGTATATCACAGCAATCTTCAGGGGGGTTGGGGAGAATAGTCGACGCAGTGGGGCCTCGAAGGAGGAGAAGGATAGGGAGGGGGGGTTTGGGAGGGAGACTCGGAAGGTGCTCTGCGGTGACAGGAGCAGACCAACCCCACCACCTTTACGACCGTTAGGCCCATGGGTGGAGTGGGTCCAGGTGAGACCTCCATAGGAGAGTGCAGCAGGGGAGTAAGAGTCAGTGGCCTGGAGTCCAGGTTTCCGTGATCGCCAGGAGGTTGAGGTGAGCGGAAACAAAGAGGTCGTGGATGGCAGTAAGCTTGTTGCACACCGAACGGGCGTTCAGGAGTGCACATGAAAACGGGGGGGAGATTTAGGGAGCAGGGAGACAGATACTAAGTTGCGGGGTTGCAGTAGGACGTGGAAGTGGGAGGGTGTTGAGCGGGTGAGGGAGGTGGAGGCCAGGATTTGGGGAGATGTCCCCCGCGGCTAGGAGGAGGAGAAGGGTGAGAAAGGTGGCATGGGAGCGGGATGTGCAGGAGCGTGAGAAACTCCTAGTGGAGGTGTTGGGGTCAGTGGAGAGAGGAGTAATAGGAGAGGTGGTAGGTGCCATAGAGTAGGGGTGAGGGAAGCAGTGAGGACACAATATACAACTGTTTGGGAGGAGCGGAGGGATATAGTGAATGGAATTTGGAACGGAGGAGAGGAAAATGAGAAGGAGGAGTGGAAGAGACATTTTGGGGAGGTGAAGAGAGCAGTAGTAGGGAGATGATAGCAGTGAGGGGAGATGTACAGGTTGTGGGGTGGAGCAGAGGGGGTAGAGAAATGAGATTTGGGAACAGAGGGTAGTAATATGATGAGAAGAGGGGTGTATCATATAAAGGTACACAGAGTGGGGTCTCAGGCATGTAAGAGGTTTCCCAGGGTGTTTGCTTGCAGTCTTCCCTAGCGTGCAGTAGAGCTTCTGGCTGTTGTTTGTGTCTTCCTGCTGCTTGAGTTCTCCTGCTTTAGTTCAACTGCTGCGTTTAACTGCGTTTAACTAATATATAATATAATCCCACGTTTACACACTATATATATATATATTTATATCTGGTGGTATATCATTGTTGATGACTATATAGTATATTGTTGGGAATTATAATGATTTCTATGGTATGTTTCCCTGACATATATGACACCTCAGCTTCCATTCTTCCCTTGGTATAATATAAATATATATTTTATATCTGGTGGTATATCATTGTTGATGACTATATAGTAATATTGTTGGAATTATAATGATTTATAATGGTATGTTTCCCCTGACATATATGACACCTCAGCTTCCATTCTTCCCTTGGTATATATATATATATTTATATCTGGTGGTATATCATTGTTGATGACTATATAGTATATTGTTGGGAATTATAATGATTTATATGGTATGTTTCCCCTGACATATATGACACCTCAGCTTCCATTCTTCCCTTGGTATATATATATATATTTATATCTGGTGGTATATCATTGTTGATGACTATATAGTATTATTGTTGGGAATTATAATGATTTCTATGGTATGTTTCCCTGACATATATGACACCTCAGCTTCCATTCTTCCCTTGGTATATATATATATTTTATATCTGGTGGTATATCATTGTTAGTGACTATATAGTATATTGTTGGGAATTATAATGATTTATATGGTATGTTTCCCCTGACATATATGACACCTCAGCTTCCATTCTTCCCTTGGTATATATATATATTTATATCTGGTGGTATATCATTGTTGATGACTATATAGTATATTGTTGGGAATTATAATGATTTCTATGGTATGTTTCCCTGACATATATGACACCTCAGCTTCCATTCTTCCCTTGGTATATATATATATATTTATATCTGGTGGTATATCATTGTTGATGACTATATAGTATATTGTTGGGAATTATAATGATTTCTATGGGATGTTTCCCTGACATATATGACACCCTCAGCTTCCATTCTTCCCTTGGTATATATATATATATATTTATATCTGGTGGTATATCATTGTTGATGACTATATAGTATATTGTTGGGAATTATAATGATTTATATGGTATGTTTCCCCTGACATATATGACACCTCAGCTTCCATTCTTCCCTTGGTATATATATATATATTTATATCTGTGGTATATCATTGTTGATGACTATATAGTATATTGTTGGGAATTATAATGATTTATATGGTATGTTTCCCCTGACATATATGACACCTCAGCTTCCATTCTTCCCTTGGTATATATATATTTATATCTGGTGGTATATCATTGTTGATGACTATATAGTATATTGTTGGGAATTATAATGATTTCTATGGTAATGTTTCCCCTGACATATATGACACCTCAGCTTCCATTCTTCCCTTGGTATATATATATATATTATATCTGGTGGTATATCATTGTTAGTGACTATATAGTATATTGTTGGGAATTATAATGATTTTCTATGGTATGTTTCCCCTGACATATATGACACCTCAGCTTCCATTCTTCCCTTGGTATATATATATATTTATATCTGGTGGTATATCATTGTTGATGACTATATAGTATATTGTTGGGAATTATAATGATTTATATGGTATGTTTCCCTGACATATATGACACCTCAGCTTCCATTCTTCCTTGGTATATGCCTGGATTTAGGACACTCAATTGTTGTCCCTTTTCTTATATCGCCTTGTTTTGATCCAACAACTGATCACTACTTACTGACCTATCCGGACCCCACTACTATCTAATATTTACTGTGTATTTTGCTGACACTTGTATATGTCACTCCAGATTGTATCCTTCAAAAATACCTAAGGAAAAATGGTGCCCGCTTAGCCGTGCGTGCGCACTAAGTTACGTCTTCTCAAAGATGGCGCATGTATAATGCGCATGCGCAGTCGTCTATATAAACTGATGGCGTGCGGCTTTGCGTTATTGGTGTTCCCCTCAGATGACGTGCGGGTGCACAAAACACGTAAAAAGGAGCCAATAACGCCAATGATTTCACGCTGCCGGAGCAACGTGGAGCTCCGGTGGCCATCTTTAACTCTGGCCGGTTAGTCCATGCGGTTTTGCTTACTCACCCTATGTGTTTTTATCTGGATACCTATTATTATCTCAATAAATATTCATACTACTACACTATGGGATGTGTTTGCCTTGACCCCCCCGGGGAGTATTGATTTACAGACATCCACTGCCCAGTTCCCAGAGAGGGAGCCTCTATTACACCCAGTGAGCTGCACCCATCCATCCCTTAAGGGGAACTCTGGAAAACCCAGATTCATCATCTTAAAGTCCCAGCACCCATCCCCCATAAGAGGGAGTTTACTCTATTCCTGCCCTGAGATGACCATTAGATGACTGCAGGATTTTATTACAAAACGCACATTATTTTACGCGTTCCAGTGAGTGCGCATTTCTTCCATACTGATTGCACAGCACCGTTTCCAAGGACTGTACAGGATATATGAGCACTTAGTCCACTTTATGAACTTTTATATGTCTGGTGTTATTTATATCCCATGACTTTATATTTCAGAATCAATTTGTGAATATTTATGTCACTTTTATGTACCTTTTTGACCTTTTACAATAATTTTAGGGCTGCACACTATTATTTACATTGCTGATTGTAAGGTGTTACTTGGTTACCTTGTGCATAGCGGCTGATATCCATGTTTGTGCGCTCACATATACCTACCATACATACTGTATCCCCAGATGGTGGGGACTGGACCTCCTGAATGAAGGATATAGGGAAACCTGAAGATTGTCCTGGGCAGGAAGGGGGTAAAAGTACACGGAATTGAAGGGGTTAAAGGGCAAATATGACAAGAAAACATTCAAAATGCTGAACACAGCACAAGGCCGGGACCACACCATGAGACATTTCTCAGGGCTGCAGTTCCTCTGAGCTCCACAAGGTGGTGATCTCGCTTATACCCAAACAGGAAGTCTCTATGGAAATGATGTCAGCTACAGAAAGGAAGTGATGTCAGGTACAGATAGAACGTTCCATGTGGCACAAAGAAGAGGAGACATTGGGGGAAGTGGCAGCAGAGGAGGTAATAATGTTATTTCCTATTTACACCCAGTAACCCCCCGTCATGTCCATCCTCTTCCTCCATAGTCCATCTTCTTCCTCCATCATCATGTCTGTCCTCTTCCTCCATAGTCACCGTCCGTTCCTCTTCCTCTATAGTCATGTTCATCCTCTTCCTCCATAGTCACGTCCGTCCTCTTCCTCCATAGTCACGTCCGTCCCATCTCTTCCTCCATTGTCACGTCCGTCCTCTTCCTCCATAGTCACGTCCGTCCTCTTCCTCCATGGCCACGTCCGTCTCTTCCTCCATGGCCACGTCCATCCTCTTCCTCCATAGTCATGTCCGTCCTCTTCCTCCATAGTCATGTCCGTCCTCTTCCTCCATAGTCATGTCCGTCCTCTTCCTCCATAGTCACGTCCGTCCTCTTCCTCCATAGTCACGTCCGTCCTCTTCCTCCATAGTCATGTCCGTCTCCTCTCCCTCCATAGTCACTGTGACGTCTTTTATCTCCAGCAGATGATGATAACACACATATATAGTGTGGGAACCCAGATGAACCCCTTCAGGGGCAGAACATTCCCCCACTTCCGGGGCCGGAACATTCTCCTCATTGGGAGAAATTCTAGTAATATTGGTCCTCTAAACAAACAGCACTGACAATAAATAGACAAGACAAGGACCATCCTGACCATACATGGCCTACAAAGGGCAATGATGACACTACACAGGCAGCCAATGGGCAATCATTACACTATGCAGCCAACACAATGATGGAGTGCCGGGGTCAGGAGTATGGAGCATAGAGCCCCTTACATTGCTGCTCAGGAGGAAGAAAACATTCCCCAGCCGGCCATGAAGAATATGTTCCATCATTGGTGTCAGAGGGAGGGAAATACTGAGGGGTCTGAGGGAAGTAGAGGAGCTGAGAAGCTGTGATGGTTTTAGTAAAGGTGAAGGACTTTAGGGCCCCTGAAGGGGGAATCTGGGACCTTTTAGAGGGTAGTCAGGCTGCAGGGCTTTGGGGGAATAGGGGGCTGAAGGGCACAGGGGACTCGGAAGGAGGGGAGGTCTCTGGGTCTGTGGTGCCCCCACCTGTACTTATTTTTCTGACCTTACAGAACCGGCAATCTTAACCATCTTATTGTCTCACTGGTCATGTGACATGTTCTGGAATATCAAGTAACATAGAGAAGGACATTCCTTCACACTCAGTGAGCACTTGTTCTTAGAGGAGTCCTGATTCAGCTGCAAACCAGTTCAGAAACAAAACAAACCCAACAGAGAAAAGGGGATTTCTGATCCGACAGGACAAGAGGGTTTCCAGGTCCTCCAAGATGTAACAAACACTAAACAGTCCAAACTAAATGTCTTCCCATGGGGGGAGTAGTTCTTAAATGTCCATCAACCCTCCTATTCCCCCCTCACATCCACATCCTATCATTGTGTGACCAATACCATCCAAATCATTCTTACTTTCATTTCCCAAAGTTATCCGTCTACAAGGAGACCTGTATAGATCACATGATGGCACCAATGAGGATGGAGGAGGACCGGAGTCACATGACTGAGAAGATACTAAACCTCACCCTGGAGATCATCTACCTGCTGACCGGAGAGGTGAGGAGGATTCTGGGAGGTCACATGACATCACTCTCATCTCTATTAATAAAACACAGACCTGACCGGAGAGGTGAGGAGGATTCTGGGGGGGGTCACATGACATCACTCTCATCTCTATTAATAAAACAGACCTGACCGGAGAGAGTGAGGAGGATTCTGGGAGGTCACATGACATCACTCTTATCTCTATTAATAAAACACAGACCTGAACGGAGAGGTGAGGAGGATTCTGGGAGTCTAACATGATATTCCTATTGGTTCCTCAATATAGAGATTTCCTCTTCTGAAGTCAGGTGATCATATGACCATCACAGTGCCTCCATGTGACTCCCTAAACCCTGAGAGACACAACATGCAGAAGATTCTAGAAGTCACCAAGAAGATGATGGAGCTGCTGACAGGAGAGGTGAGCGGTGCCGGGAATTCTGGGACATTCTCCAGTAACAGACAAGGGATGTGTCTGGATGGTGACTGTATCATTGTGTGTGTCAGGTTCCTATAAGGTGTCAGGGTGTCACTGTCTATTTCTCCATGGAGGAGTGGGAGTATTTAGAAGGACACAAGGATCTCTACAAGGACGTCATGATGGACAATCAGCCGCCCCTCACATCACCGGGTAAGAGGAGACTTTATTGTAAAGGAGAGAGCAGTACGGAGGATCCACCTAGATCCCCCATCATCTGATAAACACATAGAAACAATGGATTCAGTCAGTGTGTGTGTTTCCTACAGATGGATCCAGTCATGGGAACCCACCAGAGAGATGTCCCCGTCCTCTGTATTCCCGAATTCCACACAGGAAGGTCACACCATCCCTCACCATCATCAGGTAGATGAGGAACAATCACTGATAGCATCATTAGGATCTGTACATTATCTGCATTGTTACCATTGATGTCATTTTTATTATATATTCAGAGTGGAAACCTGAGAGATCCTAAAGTTAAGGTTAAAGAAGAGATAAAAGAGGAGGAGGATGAGGATGGGGGATGGAGGAGTCAGAGCTTCTGAAAGAACACAAAGATCTGTACCAGGACACCATGGTGGAGTCATCCAGCTACAGGAACCCACCAGAGAGATGTCCCCGTCCTCTGTATTCCGGGATTCCACACAGGAAGGTCACACCATCCCTCACTGTTACAAGGTTGGTGGGATGGAGCATCTAGAACATGGACTTGTATAGACAATGTGTGGATATTTTTATGTGATCTTATATTTTACAGATGATATTTTCTCTCATTTCCTTGATTTAGAGTGGAGATCCAATCGATATAGAATTTGAGGTGAAAGCAGAAGAAGAAGAGGCGTATGTGAGGGATGATCAGCAGTCTATGGAGGAGGATGGAATAACGGGGACATTTATAGAGGAGGACACTCCTACAGAGATCAGCACAGGTGGGTCATGAACACTAAATCCATTCCTCCACCCATACTGCTCACTGATTGGTCCAGAGTAGGGCGGGGACTGGGTGATATCAGCCTGTAATCCCCTGGTCACTTTCCTGAGCTGTGTTTCCCATCCTGCCTGTTGTGGGCGGAGTCCTGGTTTGGGAAACCAATCAGCTCCTGTCTAGTAATCCTCTTTGTCTTTGTATTTTTAGTCCATGGCCGGGAGATGAGGAAAACCTCCGAGGATTGTCTCACTTTGTCTCCAGACTGGAAAGTAGAAGATGAGGACATCACACAGTATAGTCCAGGAGAAAACCCGGCTCCCTCCAATGTCCATCCGGCACCACCCAGTGTAGATGGACCATCGGATTCCTTGTATCCTGAGGATCCTCAGACTGTGCAGGACCGGGTCGGCCTTCCAACAGGGAAAAGCTTTTCCTGTCCTGAGTGCGGGAAGGGTTTCCATTTTAAATGCTATCTTGATGAACATAAAAGATCTCACACGGGGGAGAAGCCGTATTCCTGTATTGAGTGCGGGAAATGTTTTCAAAAAAGTCTAATCTTAAAAAACATCAGAGGCTTCACACAGCTGAGAAACCATATTCCTGTCCTGAGTGCGAGAAAACACATTTTCACAGAAGGTTCACCTTAGCACACACATCAAAGACTGCACACAGGGGAGAAGCCATTTTCCTGTTCTGATTGTGGGAAAAGTTTTTTTCAAAAATCAGAGCTTGTTTCACATCAGAGATCTCACACTGGGGAGAAGCCATATTCTTGTCATGAGTGTGGGAAACATTTTTCATGGAAGTCCAGTCTTTGCATACATCAGAGATCTCACACGGGTGAGAAGCCATATTGCTGTCCTGAGTGTGGGAAATGTTTTTCAGTGAAGTACAACCTTTACAAACATCAGAGATCTCACACGGGAGAGAAGCCGTATTCCTGTCTTGAGTGCGGGAAATGTTTTTCACATATGTCTAATCTTTACATACATCAGAGATCTCACACAGGGGAGAAGCCGTATCCTTGTCCTGAGTGCGGGAAATGTTTTTCACAGAAGTCCAATCTTTCTATCCATCAGAGATGTCACACAGGGAGAAGCCACTTTCCTGTCCTGAGTGAGGGAAATGTTCCTCACTGAAGTCCTGTCTTCCTGTACATCAGGGTCCCACACAACCCTGGAGGTGTATTAGTGCCTTGAGTGTGGGAAATGTCTTCCAGATGAATGTTGCTGGACATCCCAGCTCTCATGTGGGAAGAAGCACACCCTGATATACACCTCAGATATACTCCATGGCTGATCTTCATCATGGAAGAAACAGTTCATAAGGAGATCAGAGGTCCCCAAAGACATGGATGAAGTGTGGGACCAGGTTGGCCATACATATCATGAGGAGAATAAAAAATGTCCTGACCTGTCATTGGCTGAGAACATTTTGTGGTGGGAGATTTCACAAACACTTGGAGATCTATTTTAAAATAAAGAATGAGTTGAACGAATGTGACCGGCGTTCGCCCAGCTGTGATGAACATTGGCCATATTTTATTTCATACTCTAATTTTCTTGGCTCCATCTAGTGGCCATAATGCAGTATTGCACTACTTTTACTGATTGAGGTATTTCATGAATAATATCTCATTATGGTCACTAGATGGAGCTGACGGTCATAGGAAATCAATGTGTTAAATTACGGCCAGAATCTGTAAGGACTCCATGAATTTGTGTCACATTTGTCCAATTTCTATCAGCAGACCCCTTACTCTCCTTCTTCAGGCATGGATTCATACTAATACACTTCTGACTACAGTAGACATGGAAGGATAGAAGGTGATCTGTATGTAAGTCTTCACCTTGTAATACAACCAGTTCAGGTAAACATAAAAATGAAAGAAAAGCGTTTGTGTATAGATAGAAAACATTAGAAATACATTGTTCCCCTTTTTATAAGTGATCACATTCCCTCTGTTCTCAGTTGCATATGGGGAGGAGAAACAACAGCACAATTGACTTCTGTTTACTGGTCTTCCCAGTGCATGGCTGAGCAGGGGGGGTGTCAGGACAAGTCTTATCATTGAAGGAGAGCAGGCTTTGTTTTCAGCATGGATGGAGAACTGACCATGAAAGTGACAGGGAAGCAGAGGGACTGGCAGGATCACCGGGGATCTCATACAAAGGAAGCAATACAGAGAGAAGAGGAGATGTCTTCATACCAGGACATGGGACAGCCGGCACAGATCAGGAATATCACATCGACCCCCCAAGCCATTTCTGACACTTTGTTTCCATGTAACATCCAGTATTTTTGCTAGAAAATGTCTTTGAACCCGCAGTGCGCATGCGCTGGGCCGGGACAGGTTATGTGCTGACCGCACTCTGCACGTCCTCCACCATCTGAGATAAATGAAGCAAGTGGGGCAGAGGAGGGGTCCTGGAAACAGCAGCACTAGCTGGGGGAACACAAGATGTACAGTCGGTGCTAATGGTGAAAAAGAAGCCCACACAGCAGCCTCAGTCAGACCGCCAGTCCCCTCTTCTGCAGTGAACTCCTCCAGCCAGATGGCGCCGGTGCACAAAGCCACAACACACAGAAGCCCACCACTGCAGCAGCCCTCACCTCCACCACAGACAGCTTCTCAGGAGGACACACTCGGACCCATTTTCCTTAGTCCCAGGATGAGCCCCAGCAGACGTCACCAGGTGAACAATGACAATTCTCTCCATATCCTGGATCACCCGGGGGGTATTGGTAGTGCAGCCTCCCCAGGGTCCTCCATGGACAGATACATGGCTGAATGAACTGAACTAGTCTTGAGGCAGAATAGATCCATATAACCACCCCCCCAGCACAACCTGCTCCATATTCAGGACATGAAGTGCTTAGAGCCAGATTCTCCACACTACTGCAGCAGAACTCTAAAACTTGTGCCATGATAACCACAGACATCAAAAAGTGATATACAAACTATAGGAGAAGGATTGGACTCTATAGAATCCAAAATGGATGGCGCTGTGAAACGTGTGAACCAGAACTCTAACCTGATTTCCACGCTACAAGACCAATTAGTAGTGAAGAACAAAAACCAAAGCGCACCAACCTTGTGCATTACCTCAGTAAGAAAATGGTAAATGTATTGAATGAAATCTACTCACAAAAGTGTCCATATTTATTGTATTATTAATATCGTTTGTCATTTTATAATGATCATTGGAAGAAGGAATGTATATTTGTAAGTAATTGATTGAGGGTATTTGTACTCTGCTTTCCTTCTCTTTTCATAATATATGGTGTTTTTGGAACGTAGAGTTCCGTTTTAAGGTTACTGACCCTTTAAAATATTATTAGATGAAATATTGCCCATATCGAGTTGTTTATGTTATTTTATAATTGCATCAGATTAGTATGGAATTGAGGCTGTTTGTCTTAATATTGTAATTGTATATGAATTGTTCTGGTAATTTGTCCTCGGATGAGCGGGGTATAAATTGCTGGCTTGTGTATGTAGTGACGTTCATCCTTCTGCTCCATGAAGACATCGAGTGACGAAACGCGTAGGATAGAGCTTTGGACTGATGTCCCTACGTTCTGTAAGCAGCTCCAGCTTTTTAGAGGGTTTAATGTTTATGCGGTTCATGCTGATGTCGGCTATGACACCTTACCATGTGAGTGGTTCAGATATGTTTTAATATAAATAAACCAGATATACAGTATTACACTATCGCCTGCTTGGTTTCTCTTCCCTTTGAGCCTATGTAGGAGGAGCTGGATATATTGGAGAGTCTTGTTGCCGTGGTTTCCTGTCTGCAGATCATTGCTCCCAAAGCAAATGGGTTGGATATATGGAGAGTCTTGTTGCCGTGGTTTCCTGTCTGCAGATCATTGCTCCCAAAGCAAAGAGGAGTTGGATATATTGGAGAGTCTTGTTGCTATGGTTTCCTGTCTGCAGATCATTGCTCCAAAGCAAAGAGGAGTTGGCTATATTGGAGAGTCTTGTTGCCGTGGTTACCTGGCTGCAGATCATTGCTCCCAAAGCAAAGAGGGATTGGTTATATTGGACAGTCTTGTTGCCGTGGTTTCCCGTCTGCAGATCATTGCTCCCAAAGCAAAGAGGAGTTGGATATGATGGGAGTCTTGTTGCCGTGGTTACCTGACTGCAGATCATTGCTCCCAAAGCAAAGAGGGGTTGGATATATTGGAGAGTCTTGTTGCTCCCAGAGCAAACATGCAATTTGCTAGTTAAGTGTTCCTGCATGGCGACCACTTCCTGTTATCTCACATATATATTCTTATTATTATAGCCACATTTACCCCCCTAACTCCTCCCACAGTTCTTACACGACATAGACAGTAATATACAGAAACGTGCGGATTGTTCCCGATTGGTGGGCTATTACTTTGTGGAACGTTTCCCCGAATGGTTCATGAAATATCGCCATTTTTGTGGTGACATTTTCCCATAGGAATGAATGGCGGAATGTTCAAAACTAGAGTGTGAGCTGAAAAATCAGGACATGATTTGTAAACTGCCATCACTCCCTCATTTTCAAGCCCACCTACACAAATCTTATATTAAAACGTTCAGCTAACCCTGCTGCCACTACAAATGTCCACAGCTAAGCCATAGTCCTGATAGTTTTCACAATATGACCATTTGTTTGCAACTCACGCCGCCCATTGACATTCCTTGAAACTCCACTCTAGCCACCTCAAATTTGAAGGGCAATTTCTAAACTGCGACAATATCGCATGCAGCGCTATAAAAAGTATAAAATAACATATGCAGCAATAGGTGGTGAACTACTAGTGCTTAGTAGTGATTTATAAGTGTCCACATAGTATAATGCAGTAGTCTCAATAAACTGTGCAGGACGTGATGAACTCCGTGCTGTGAAGTGTTTAATACTATGCACTCACCAGAAAGCGCATAAAAAGCGCATTTGAGTTGTCAGACCACTCCTGGTCCCAGAAAAGTTGAACCTGTCTGGATCATCTGGCAAGCTGTCACTCTGTCACTTCTTGGCCAGCAGGGGGATTCCCGACATCCAGAAACCCTTATAGGGCTAATCCAGGTTCCTTAACCAGGGCACTCATATGAAGTATCCACCTTAAGAGAGGGGGGGCTTGACCAGAAAGCCCACCCAAAAAATACTGATAGTGTAGTATGTTCCAAAAAGGTTCTTTATTGAAGATAATGTAAACACAGGTCACTCACAGGATTTCCCAGATTCAAAGATGGCCGCCGGCCTCCACGAGGTACGGAACGGCGTGACGTCACCGGCTAGGCTCCACCCTGACGCGTTTCGTGCGGACGAGCACGTTATCAAAGGGAGCGAGCACTAGCCGGACAAACCTATATATACTGTTCCACGCGCATGCGCGGTGGAACAAAAAAGCCGGTGACGCCATTTTGGCCTGCTCGCGCATGCGCAAAGCATGCGATAGCGGCCATTTTCTTGGTTATCACGGCTCAGGGTAGGCGACTGTTATGCATTGCAGAAGATCTCTCTCACCTGCCCTGTCATAACAACGACAGGTATAACGGGGCCGGCAGACAGTGAATATAACCGCATATACTGACCGTAGGGAATGTAATATGTATTATTAGACTGTCCCTAACTCTCTTCCAATCGAGTTTGGTAGGGGTACAGTTGAATTCACTGGGTAAAGGCTAATTTAATAGCACCTATTGCACTGCCCTAAATATATATTTAAATAAGGCCAGACATCAATCGAATTCAACGAAAAATTAATACCTGCTAAAAAACAATGCCTAAAAACACCCCCCTGAGCCTTGATGTTTTATATTACACATATTACATATACATGGAGTAAAAACTATAAAAGATACATGAAAAGTATATAAACATGTAAAAATATGCAAGTAGTGTAAATTGAAGTTAAAACATTGTAAAAATGATTAAAACCATATCAACTTGTATCAATAAAACAATTAATGTCAAGGTCTACATTCAAGCCTTGAGGGAAAAAAGACTGTAACTCATAAATCCACTTAGTTTCCAGTTTGGAAACCGATCTCTTTTTATAGGTGCCCCTCCAATATGGTTTCACGATATCTATCGCAGCAAATTTTAGGCATTTGGGATTATTGTTATGGCACA